AGGTTAACCTGGAATACCTTGGACGCGTTGTCTTTAACAAGGACGGAATACTATTTCCTGATAGTGTGGTTGGTATTGATTCCCATACAACAATGATAGATGGGTTAGGAGTTGCTGGCTGGGGAGTTGGAGGAATTGAAGCAGAGGCAGCAATGCTAGGCCAGGTAATCTCTGCCCCTGTTTTCCTTATTCTCAGGTATTGCTATCTAGTTGAAAGCTTAAATTTTATCTTTGCTTTCTAATGCTTTATTTTGAAAATTTATAGTCCATGAGCATGGTATTGCCTGGCATCGTTGGATTCAAGTTGTCTGGGAAATTGCAAGATGGTGTCACAGCTACCGATCTGGTTTTGACTGTGACACAGATGTTGCGGAAGCATGGTGTTGTTGGCAAATTTGTTGAGTTTTATGGTTAGTTCTATGATCGCAAATCTATAAAAATGTATATTTTAACCATTAACATCCAGTGTAAATGATTGTATGCTTGTCATTATTTTTTTAATGTGCATGTAGGTGAGGGTGAGGCTGAATTATCATTGGCTGATCGAGCCACAATTGCAAATATGTCTCCTGAATATGGAGCAACCATGGGCTTCTTCCCTGTAGATCATGTAACACTGCAGTACCTTAAGTTAACTGGCAGAAGTAATGAGACAGTGAGTTCTTTCATTTCCTTCTTGTTCCTCTCTTCCCTTAACTTGCTCGAATTAGTATGGTTATTGAAGTTATGTTGGTGGCCTGACTATACTTCTTATATCTGATCAGGTGTCACTGATAGAAGCGTATTTGCGAGGGAATAAGATGTTTGTCGACTACAATGAGGTAGTGTTTCCTCAACTCTGCTAGATAGGAAAGATAGATTTAAGACTGCTATCATCAATCTGACATCAAGAGGACAATTGTCACGATCAGCCTCAACAAGAAAGAGCATACACTTCTTATCTCCATTTGGACCTTGCTGATGTTGAACCCTGTGTTTCAGGGCCAAAAAGGTATGTGCCTTTTCCAACTTAGCCACTTAATTCAATGCATTTTCATTTGCTCTTTTTAGCTGATTCACAATTTTTTTTTTGTTTGATGCGTTCTTGCAGGCCTCATGACCGAGTCCCTTTGAAAGAAATGAAGGCCGACTGGCATGCATGTCTTGATAATAAACTTGGATTCAAGGTTAGATGCAGACAGCTTCCTTGCACTTGGTTCATCAGAAGCCTCTTGTATGAATAGTTTCCGTGGTGTTACTTTACTTGAAACAATTCATTAGTAAATGGAGTTGTTTTCTAGTGAAACCTTACCATATGCATGCCCCCAACAAAGCCCCCATGGTGAGGATATGAGGCTTTTAATTTGAAGGTTGCCTCCATATGCACAGTTGTTAAACAAATGAACACATTCTTCATGTACTCATATATTGGTATTCAGTGCCATAACTTGTGATCGTTGTTTCCTTGCAGGGTTTTGCTGTGCCAAAGAAAGAGCAGAATAAGGTTGCAAAGTTCACCTTTCAGGGACTACCTGCTGAACTTAGGCATGGTAGTGTTGTCATTGCAGCTATTACAAGTTGTACAAACACATCAAATCCTAGTGTCATGCTTGGCGCTGGACTTGTTGCTAAGAAGGCCTGTGAGTTCGGTTTGGAGGTTAGTGCTGGCTTCTTAAATGTGTTACTCCGTACTGCATGTTAGTCTTTGGAAGTATTAATATATTTCACTTTATTATATATCTCAGGTTAAGTCATGGGTTAAAACCAGTCTTGCTCCTAGTTCTGGGGTTGTGACAAAATATTTGCTCCAGAGGTATGTGGATTACTTGCTATATTTCAATGAAGTAGTTAGTTGTCGATGTTGCTTCTCTTCCTTCTTAAGAAGAGAAGAAAATATCTATGAAATAGTTATATTTGATTCTTGTTTTGGTGTCTGCAGTGGGTTGCAGAAATACCTGAACCAGCAGGGCTTTAATATTGTTGGCTATGGTTGTACAACTTGTATAGGAAATTCTGGAGAACTCGATAAATCAGTTGCTTCTGCAATTTCAGAAAATGGTAAAAACAATGTGTTAAAGGGAAAACTGTTTCTTCATTTCTTAATAGTTGCTGCATACTTGCTTATGAATTGCCAGGAGAGCTTTGGATTAAAGCTTTTCTTCTCAGTTTGGGGTCAATGATACTTTTCAGTTAAATTTGCAGCAAGTTATGCTGAATTGCTCATGCTTTTCAGTTAGAAATATAGGCTGCTCCTTAAACTTGTTTCGAATCCAGCTTGTTGCATGTGTAACTCTTTGATTCACCATCCTCATCTATGTTTGTCCTATAGGTTCTTTATGATTTTTTCTGCAATTATCGGCTTTCACATTTTTCACCTGCTACATTTTACTGTCATTCAACTTCACTCATTACTATCTTGATTGCTCTTATAGATATAGTTGCTGCGGCAGTTCTTTCCGGGAATAGAAACTTTGAAGGTCGAGTTCATCCACTGACAAGAGCTAACTATCTTGCTTCACCTCCATTAGTTGTTGCCTATGCCCTTGCTGGCACGGTATGTATACGACCATTACTTCTACATCTCATGTTTTTCTGCTGGTCTTGATTGCTTTACTTCAAGGGTAGACATGCTTCAGAACTTGGACAATCTAGTTGATACCATTCAATATGCAAGCAATTGAGTTCCAAAAATTAGGAGCAAATCGTGTTACTTCTTGGCCTTTTGGCTTTTGCAAGACACCAAATGCAGTATCAACCAAGATTATCAATTTGAAATTGGAAGAGTTGTAATTTAAGAGGATACCTGATTTTTTCTTTGCCAACATGTTTGGCAACTTTGCAATCTGGTGCTGAATCATTTACTCCTTGCTGTCATACTTTCAGGTTGATATTGACTTCGAGAAAGAGCCTATTGGAACAGGAAAAGATGGTAAGAGCGTGTATTTCAGGGATATATGGCCTGGCAATGAAGAGATTGCAGAGGTAAAATATGATGTGCTTGGGGAAACTATTTCAGAAAATGGACAAATGTTGTCTTAACATTGTCAGCCAAAATAATTGTGTACCTCTATGCTCTGACAGTTGGCTCAATCGAGCGTGCTGCCTGATATGTTCAAGAGTGCATATGTAGCTATCAGAAAGGGCAATCCTATGTGGAATCAGCTTGCTGTCCCTGCTTCCACTCTCTACTCTTGGGATCCAAACTCAACATATATTCATGAGCCTCCATACTTCAAAAACATGACAGCAGAACCACCAGGCCCTCATGAAGTGAAAGATGCATATTGCTTACTCAATTTTGGTGACAGTATTACTACCGATCATATTTCCCCAGCCGGTAGTATCCACAGGGATAGCCCTGCTGCTAAGTATCTTCTTCAGCATGGAGTGGACCAGAGGGACGTCAATTCTTATGGTAGTCATCGAGGCAATGATGAAGTGATGGCAAGGGGTGCATTTGCCAATATCCGCATAGTTAACAAGATCTTGAAGGGAGAAGTTGGTCCAAAGACAATTCACATTCCAACAGGAGATAAGCTTAATGTATATGATGCAGCTATGGTGAGTGTTGGTATTGTTATTTAGAAATACTTTACTGCAGCTTAGACCACATTTACCAAACAGTGAAATATCATAAACTTGCAGAGATACAAGGCCGCTGGGCAGGACACTATTATCTTAGCAGGAGAAGATTATGGAAGTGGCAGCTCACGAGATTGGGCTGCCAAGGGCTCAATGTTACTGGTGCAGACACATACTTACTGTTTCTTGACATCCAAGTATCATGTTTTATGTTTCTTCACATCTTCTCTATCTTCTCCTATTCACCCTTTCATCCCCAGTGGTTTTTCTGCTCTGTCCAGGGAGTCAAAGCTGTGATTGCTAAGAGCTTCGAGAGAATCCATCGCAGTAATCTGGTTGGCATGGGGATCATTCCACTTTGTTTCAAGCCTGGTGAGGATGCAGATTTTCTAGGATTAACAGGTCATGAGCGCTATACAATTGACCTTCCAAGTAAAATAAAGGAGATAAGACCCGGCCAAGGTGTTACCATCACAACTGACACTGGCAAATCGTTCACATGCACAGCCCGGTTCGACACAAAGTTATGTCAAAGACTCATAAGAGTTTTAGGAAGAGAAAAGGGGGAAGGTTTTGCCAAGCATTCAGAGCCATAATCAATGGCTTTATGCATATGAACAAATGTTTTGACTTGCATGATAATTTTTCTGCCGGTGGAATTGGAGTACTTCAATCATGGAGGCATTCTTCCATATGTCATTCGTAACCTGAACAAGGATTAGGCAATCTAGCTTCAAATCAGCAGCCTCTTCACATTGCAATCTGCATTGATTGAAGTTTTCCTGGGTAGTGGGGTTCTTCAGCAGACAATCAGTAGCACAGATTTTTCAAGGTTCTCAGTAATACCAGGAAATGCACCGGTGTTTAGGTTATTGGGGAATTGGGGTTGTTCATATCTGTTGTTAATTAGAGTAGGAAAAGAAGAAAATGACAATGGATGTTTTTATTTTTGGATAAAAGAAAAAACTGGAATTTTATTTTCTAAGAACATATGAATTGATTTGAAGATCAAGTAAATAGTTTTTCTGATCTATTAATAATATACTTCAACAGATTGAATTTATATGAATCCTAAAGTACCATCACAATGTAAAGCACTATTGTTGTGAAAATGTAAATCACTACTTCATTCTCTTTAGCCTCTATCTAATTTGTAGTGTAGAGCGAAAAGCTTTAAGATAGTTTAGCTTTCTTACAAGAACATAATGTAAAGACTAGATATAATGTCATTAATAGTATCATTTTTATACTAAAAAGGTAATTAAGACGCAGAAACTGAATAGAAAAAAGGTAACCAGGATTTGGCATTGTGTAGCCTTGATGCATATAGAGTAGTTTTAACTACAGAAAAATGCACCATGCTGAACAGTGAGACAGAGCATACGATTGAAGATAAAGGAGAATATAACAGAGCAAAAGGTGCAAGAATAATAGAATCATTGAACAAAAATTTCTCTTTATTCAGTTCCCAAAATAAGAAGCTCAAGTTACATGCTGTGGTATATAAAACTAAGCACTTCATTGCCAGCATATTTAGCAAATCACAATATTTTCACCAACAGAAGGATATTGGAGAAAGGAGAAATGAATAAGAAGAAAGAAAGAGAAAAAGATGGTCAAACTATGAGACTATGTAAGTGCCTCAGCTCCAGCAACAATCTCCAAAATCTCACCAGTGACTTTTGCCTGCCGTTCCCGATTATAAACAATGGAAAGATTCTTCCTCAACTCAACTGCATTATCAGTAGCATTACTCATTGCATTCATTCTAGCTGCCAGCTCACTCGCCAATGATTCCTGCAATGCCCTCAAGATCTGACTATTCAAATAGAGAGGCATCATGGCATCCAGAATCTGAACTGGATCTTGCTCAAACTGCATAAGAGGTGAAATTCCCCCTCCTTCCATCCTCACCCTATCCCTCTCCACAACCAGCTTCCCTCTCTTGGTTGTCAACCTAAACAACTCATCCTCCATAGCATCAACACAAGTCCCATTCACATCAAAAACCTTTCCTTCCACTGACAGTGGAAGCAAAGTACGGATTACTGGATCTGACTTCACCAAAGATACAAACTTTGTATATAAAAGCTCAACCTTATCAGCCTCTTCAGTAACAAATAATGAAAAAACATCATCAGCAATTATTTGAGCCTCTTTCGCCGTAGGAAACCCTCCTCCTTCAACAAACCTATCAACCGAAACATGATCCCTACGCCTAAAATAAGAATTACCCTTTTTCCCTACACTGATAACAGTATAATCCAATCCAAGACCTTTCAATTCCACAATCCGGGACTCAGCCTTTTTAATCACTGCATTGTTGAAACTACCACAAAGACCCCTATCACCAGTTACAACAACGAGAGCTACTTTCCTTACAGGCCTAATAACAGTTAAAGGACAATCAATATCTTCACATTGTAAATTTTCACTAATGGTGTAAAGGAACTCAACTAAAGCCTCAGTAAAAGGCCTACCATTGATGACAGCTTCTTGAGCTCTCCTCACCTTTGCAGCTGCCACCAGCTTCATTGCTTCAGTGATTTTTTGAGTGTTTTTGACTGTTGCAATCCGCTCTCGGAGCTCACGAAGACTGCTTTGAACTGGAGCCAAATGTGAAGGAGATAGAGAGAGGCTTTTGAGGGGTAATATTTGAGGGAATTGGAGAAATGTGTTTTGGTTAAATTGATGAAAAAGTACATTTTGGTTGGAATTTGAAGGTTTTGATGAGATCCAAGTTGGTAGATTTGAAGAATACATAGTCTTGAGAGAGGGTTTTTGCGGGTTTTGGGTTTAAGCTTTGGGTTTAACTTCTCAGTTTGTACAGACAGACCAAAGTGAAGTGAGTTCCTAAGTGATGGCAAATAGAAACGACAATGATCTGGGGAACAATCTAACAAGGATTTGGAGTTCGGACTTTGTTCTTTTGCCCTTATGCTCTGTTTGGACAGCTACGAGTTATTAGGGACGGATTAATTAATAATTTTTACTCGGTAAGAAACAGAGCCCACAAAAAGTGGAGTCCACGCATGAACGCTTAAAACGCAAAACGGTATGTCGTTTGGAGTTACTCCGTCTCCGCCACCTTCAGTCTCCGTGCGCACAGGTCCTTAATTGAACAGACCAAAAGCCAAAAAAGCGCAGCTTTGGACGCAGACATGTCGAAGCTGTTTGCGAGAATTGCTGGGTATTTCAGCAACAGAACATTCATAGGTGTAGACAAAGCTGGGAATCGTTACTTCACTAGAAAAGAAGAGATTGATGGTATCCGTAAGTGGGTCTCATTCCCTTCTCTTTACAATTTTTTTTTTCTAGTTTTGCATTTTTATGGATATGGGTATTCGTTAATGATCCTGCTTTTGCATTTGCTATGTGGGTTTTATACTAGAGGTCCTTAGTTCTTTTGAATTTTATTTTTTTGAACTTTTTGCTTTGGTTTCGTGGAGTTTTCTATATGAATTCATGGATTTTCCATCTGGGATTTTTGAAGAACAAAGTTTTGGATTGCATTTTATGTTCTTTGTGATTTCAAATTAGTGATTGGATACTTGGATTCTCCTGTGATCTTCTCTTGTGTTAGATATTTGATTTGTTTGGAGGTTAGCTCTTTGTTAATGAAATAATGTAAGGAAAAGACTTGAAGCCTTCAATTTATCAATGTAGTAGGAAAATGGATAGCTCTAATGCCATTTGGTTCCTGAGAAAAACTTAAATCTCTACTTATTCATCGTCTAATTATGTTTATTCCGTGTTGTTGAGCTGAGTTTCAGTTTTGTTTATGATGGAAATTTTAAACTATGACACGATCTTGCTCCAAGGTATTGGTCCAGTGAGAAGTTCAATTATCTTAAGGTCTCATACTGGAGTACACTTACCCCTATAATGAGGTTGTGAGTAGGGAGAAAGAAAAACGAAAAAAGAAAAAATAAAGCAGAGGGGAGAACAACTTATTTGGAAATGATATACAATTATGTTTTCGTATGCCATTACTATTACGTTTTTCTGACATTATAGTTTTGTTTATGTACTAGTCAAGGAGAAAAGATGGGTGGAATTCAAAGGAGAGCGAGATCCAACCACAATCCCCGGTAAGCTTTTTAGTGAAAGTTGCTCACTTGTTGACCATAGCATAGAGTAGACAGAAATACATTCATATTAACTGATCAGGCTTCTCATTGAAAACTAACTATAGTATAAACTGCATTGTTTGTTTCCAATACTTATGGTTTCTTGCAATTTGATTGCTATAGTTGAATGGATATGTTGGTTGAATGGGCAGCGAAAGAAAGTTCCAACTCCGGAGGTACTTACAAATGTATTTCGTTGCATACTTTGACAGCCGCCTCCTCCCTCCACTTCTCGAAGCAGCAAAAATCTCCCTCACCCAAGGATGAAGTGTAGCAGAATTATGATTCAAATGCATAAAATCTCTTAAATAGATATTATATTTGATAGAAACATTTTGGTACCATAGTCTTTTACTTTAGTTACTAGTGTTTCCATTAAGATATCGTGGTGGAATGATTTTAAGTTTGATTTGATAGTTTATTGTTTTTATCTTCAGGAAATAATGGAACTTGAAGCAAGGCGGGAACGTGTTAGGCTTAACGTTACTCGTACGTATTCTTAGGATCATCACTTAACATGTTCTGCCACTGTATTCTCTGATAATGATTTGTCTTGCCTTTTTTTTTTTTTTGGAAAAGTTTTGAAAGAGGAAGAAGAGGAAAGGAAAGCCAGAGAAGGCAGTAAGAAGGTTGTGAGCTCTGGTAAGCTGCTGTTCTTGTGTGCTTCGATCTCCCTTTTCTCTTTTTGCTCATGTAATTGTTGATAATTGTGCTGTAATTAATAGGTAAAGTAGGAGGTCCAGACTTAAAAAGCTTCATTCGGCAATTTCCATCTGCTTCGGAAGGTATTGTATTCTTTTACCGATATGTCCTAAAATATGATCAATACTATTTTAAGCTTTGGTGCTGATGATATTTTCGTTCTTTTGTTTTTACTCTCAGGTGACAAAGTTGAACAAGCATCAGATGAAAGGTGGGTGACATGTACTGTTTTATAACATGACTAAAACATTGCTGAGAGTTGAAGTAATTAAAGTACAAACTTATTGAATTGTTTATCAGAGTGGCTTATTATTCTCCTAATCTAATTCCCATGTTGGATTTCCTTTCTTTTTCACTCTAACTGCACTGATGAATGCTGTTCCTGACCCACTTGAGATGCTTTTACATCCAACTTGGTTCTGCCCTATTGTTTCTTCTTCACTTTAGGCCTCTGTTTTTGTTCCTTCCTATTTCTGTTTTTCTAGATGATGAATGAATCTTTGTCCTTTTGCATTACCTTTCGTAGAAACGAAGTGTGGCAGCTAAGGTATAGCATAATTGGTAGTTTGACTAGTTGTACCTCCTATCTAAAGACAAGAATGCTTCTCCCTTTACCCCTTTTTCTTAAGTATACAGCAAAAAAGTGGTATCTGGTAAATTGAGTTGTCACTTGGGTTTATTTGATCTTTTTTTTTTTTTTATCATATCATGAAAACTGCTTGCTACATATATGTGTTTAACATCATGCGTCATATTTATAGGACCAAAGAGACACAGGAAGAGAAGGGAAAACCACTTCCGGAGTAAGTTTCAGACGCTTTCTGAAAATATGATATGCAGAGCAAGCCAACTTCATAGCTATGTTCTACTTACTAATTTTGCTAACACAAAATACATAATCTTTTATTCTCTACACTTTTTTTCAGGTCTTCAGAACCAACAGGTTCCGGTGCATCCTACAAGCCAGGAACATGGCAACCGCCAACATGATAATCAACACATGTTAAGGAATATCGTCTTCGCCTTTGATCCATGCCACAGATTCTACTCAGAGATAAATTGCATTTGTTGGTTGTGAAGCCTCAAATTTTTTGGCAATCTAAATGAACACATTCTTTAGCTGATTACATCCAAATTCTTTTTTCGTCCATTTGAGCTTTCATAGATGACACTTGATGTTCAAATCCTCTCCATCGGTATATGATCGCAGGGGTAAATTTCAAACCTTTTCTGTATCATGATGTATAAGTTCTAGCCCGGAAATGTAGGGTGCTAAAATTTTGGGAATATTCTTTTGTCACTTTCCCTAAGAACATTTGGATATGAACAATAGTACTCATCAGTCTTAAATCATCTTCAGTGGATTATGAACATGAGCATGGAAAGTTTAATTTTGCAGGAAAATTGTTTCTGGGTTTTGGAAATCAACATAGAGTAATCATATCATCTAATTGCTTGTTAGAGATTCATAAGACCATAACATTCATACAATGGTCATTCCCACTTAAATTTTCGAGGAGTAAACATTCTCCATGAAGACCAAACTCACCCACCTATCCCACTACTCTCTTGTCTCTCTCTCAGTGGGCGTAAATAAATAAAAAAAAACCCTTGATTTATATAAATTGTTGCAATCGGTTCATATATTTTTATCATAATCAATTAAGCTTTTTTTTAATTTGTATCCAATTGAGTTCTTATTATTTTTATTTTTATTTTACTCCATTGAACTCTTGTATGGAAATATAACAGATGTCGTTCCTAGTGACAATTATCACTTTTTATATATGTAGAATCCAATTGGCGTGTGTTAATGTAGGATAAGAATGTAATATATCACATCACATGTTATCAATTTTTTATTTATTGAATCAACACAGTACGTTAAATCTTTACACAATAAGTGATCGTTAATGTTGAGAACAACATTCGATACGAGAAATGATTCAATTGAATAAAAGAATAGATGTTTAATCGGATATAAAGATTTAATTGTAAAAGTGCATATAATTCAGAAATTTTTTTTTGTTATTTAAGCAAAAATAAAAGTAAGAAGCTGCCAACAAGGCAAACGACAAAAAGACAGAATAAGTCTATCCATGAACCAGCCTTGCCCTTCCTATTGTGGTCCTGATATGAACCCAAAAGAGATGGCCTTGAAAGTCTACTGTCCTCTTGTACTTGTGAAAGGCTTCGGCCCCTTCAACCAAAAGGTTTGGTCAATAAATAAAATTTAGCCCACATCAAATTCTTCTCCTTTGAGTTTGGGACCAATTCTTGAATGAAAGAACATTTGCACCACTTGATTTTTAATTAAGGGTATTACTTTTAGGTACTTGTATTAATAAAAACCTTAATAAGATTAATTTCACTTTTTCTTTTTGAAGTGATCAATTTTTATCGATTTAGGTTTATCTTATCCTAATTTTTTTTTAAAAAATCTCATGTCAATTACGAGTTAGGTAAATTTTCATGTCATTTTGTCACGAGTGAAAAGCTTATATTTTTAATATTAAAGACACATCTGTTAAGATATTATAATTCAAAATTCATTTTATTTTTTATTAATTTGATATTATAATATTAAAAAATTATAAAAAAAAAGTAAATACATACTCAGGTTTTAAATCATTGAGAAATGGATTTTATCTTGATTGCTTTTGAGTTGCGGGCTTGTAACTAGTTAAACATAAATTTATTTGATTGATTTGTTTTATTTTTTATAAAAATAAATAATAAATAAAAAGTAAAAAATAAAAAGTTTCAATATAATGGAACTTTAAAGTTTAAATTATCCAATAAGGTATTTTATGAAATTATTGATTTCCTCAATCTTTTAGACGTGTGCTAGCACGCGCCATTGTTTTACCTTAATATGACAATCATTCCCTCAGCTTAAAGACAAATTACAATGATTAAACAAAATCAAATCGAGAGTCAAAGTCAAACGACCTACCGAATCTCCACCGTTATCTCTCATCCAACGGTAGATAAAATCCCCACCGTTTTTTCTCCCCGTATATAAACCCCCATTTCACAGTCGTAAGATTCTCTCGTTTCTTCTTCGGAGCTCACTGAGCGAAGCTGCTACCATTTCTC